AGTGGGTCAAAGTTTTCTCCGGCAATATCCCACATTTTTGTCTCTCCTTGCAAGTATTGTGAGCTCCTCCTTGATAAAAGACGAAGATTGCTATGAATGAACACCAAGTCCTCTGGTCGTTGAGGGACCATTTTGTTCCTTCTCACTGAGTGAATAAAGGAGTAAGTACTCCAATTTCTCTCACAACAAGATGAAGAGTCGGGTTACACAAGTAATCTCAAAGCTAGTTTTTGAAGAGATGGTGCATATGCACCATATGAACACCACCAAGTACAAGGATCCATGTGCCACCTATTATGAATGGAATCATACTCTGAGAATGCTTCAACATAACCCAAAAATTTTCGAAACTCAGTTATCACCTTGGTTCGCTCTGTGATATCTTCAAAATACCTCTTAAAACACTTGTTCCTCGCACGTGTCACCTCTTCATCCCTATGTGGAGGAACTCTGTTTTGATCCTTATGGAGCCACTCATCACTATAATACCTACAATACAAAATAGGAAAAAATAATTATTTCAAGAAAGACTAGATAAGTCCACTAAAATGAAATATCTAAAACAAATTTAAATGTGGTACTTACTTTGGATTCAATGAATGTGTCATACAATGGAGAGGAGTATTGTTTTTATTCCAACGATCCACGAGAATTTAATGCACCACATTGTAAAATGTAGATTCCTCATCTATTCTTTTCCCTTCATGCCAATATATTGTCATCTTTACTCTCTATCATTGTGTCCCACATATCAAGTGAAGGCAAGGTTTGTCCGTATCACAAGCCCTAAGCATGTCATATGTAGGACCCGTGAAGGAAAGAATATAATCAATGTAAGTCCCACCACACATCAGCCAAAATCTTTTCTTTTACAAATTTTGCCTTCTCAACATCATCCTCTCTATAACAATTCCACCTGTCACTAATTACCATTGCTTGAAGACCACGTTTTATAAGCTGCAACCTCTTGAGCATAACAATTGTGGAGGCAAATCGGGTTTCGGCAACTGATAGCAACTTCAATGACACAAATTCATTGTACATAGCCAATCGCATTGAGTGATTAGAGATAAAATTTTTAATCATCAAACCATCTCCGGCAATATCACTAATCCAACTACACTCTTCATATGTGACTTCATTCCTCTCAATATTCTTTGCAGCACAAATATTTTTCAAAGCTATATTTAATGTGTGCACCACACAAGGAGTCCGTAGAATATGAGGGAATTGAGCTTTAATGAGTTGTTCGGCTGCCCTACAATTAGAAGCATTATCCGTGATGACTTGAACAACATTACTTGCCCCAACCTCATTAATCACTTTTTTCATCAAATTTGCAATAAAATATTTGTTTTTACTTTCTCCAGAACAATCAATTGCCTTAATGAACATAGGCCCACTTTCACTCACTGCCATAAAATTAATCCAAGGCCTCCTTTGAGAATCACTCCAACCATCACTAACAATGCTCACCCCTTTTTCCTTCCATGTGCCCCTAATTGGCTGCAACAATCTATCAATATTTGCCCTCTCCTTTTGAAGCAATGTGGTTCATAACAAATTATAACCGGAAGGCAAATATCTAGGAATATTATGATTTGCAGCAAATGTGTAAGAGCTAACATAGTAAGGATTTCTTGCAAGATTAAATGATAAACACCCCCACCCCCCCGGGTTCAAAATGTAATTGCTCTCTATCCTTCATGTTGAATGCTTTCTCACTCCCACTCCCACTCTCACTTCCACTTGCACATGTTCTCCTCTTCTTTGATTCATAAGCATAACCACTACCCACTGATACACTAGAAGGGGGCAATGGTACATTTTTGGGATGAGCATTTTAATTCTCAGTTCAACAACATCATACTCATTTTGCAGTTGTGAAAGTTTTTGACTTGTGACTTTCTTACAAGCACCAATGCCTTTTCCTGGGAGTTTTAACAGGTGTACCCTTACTATTGTATATGAACCTTTGAAAGTATTATTACAAAAACTACATTGTAGTTGGCAATTTCCTCCTCCTTCCCAGGTTTTGCTAATTTAGTTATATACTTTCACAACGGTTTGTTCTCATCAAAATCATCATCAGGTATATCATTAGAACTACCACCCGTAGTAGCCATTGTTTTAGAATTAAAAATTTGTTCCTAGAATAAAATTAATAAACACACATTAAAACTAACAAAACTAATCATCGAAAAAAAAAAGATTATATACTGAAATGATAAAGGCACAAAGAGAAAAAATATATATACAATGAAATTAGGGTAAAAAAAAAAAAAGAAGACAGAGAGAGACAGTACACTCAACATATAAACGAAAAAATAAAAGAAAAGAAAAAACAAAATGAGGCAGAGAGAGGGTGACTGAGACAGAGAGAGAAAGAGACAGCGACTGGGACGGAGAAATCGGAGAAAAAGAAGAAGAAAATCGAAGCAGAAGAAGAACGAAGAAGATCGAAGCAGAAGAAGGACGAAGAAGACCGAAGAACGTGTACCTTAGATAACGAACTACGAGCGACAAGCGATAGACGAGGAGCAAGGTGCGACGAGGAGCGACGAGCGACCACCAAACATCAATTAGGTCTCTCTTTCTCTTCTGTTCTCTTCGTCTTCTCTCTTTCTCTTTTGTTCTCTTCTTTCTCTCTTTCTCTTCTGTTCTCTTCCTCGATTTAGGGTAGATATCGTTCCATTTTTATTTTTTTACAAATCGACCCCAAAGATGTTTTATAAATTCTGAAATTGACCCCCGAACGTGTCCCGCAAGTGTCGGAACGTGTCCGGATGCAAAAAAAAAAAAAAATAGGACACTCTCTGTTGTGTGTCGGACACGTGTCCACCGCGTGTCCGTGTTCGATACGTGTCCGACACTGGTATGGAGCCCTCGAAGAGGTGTTCATGCTTCATAGCTGATGGATAATGCCACGACTAGAAAAATAGCTCTCTAACCCTAAATCGATGTATTCACCCCCATTTTCTGAACGCAAGATTTTGACAACCCAAACTGAGTACAAATCATTTTATGAAAATTTTGAAACACAGAGAAAACCTTACTTTTTTCTTTCATGAGATACACATAAATAGTTCGAGAAAAATCATCGATAAAGGTAACAAATCATCTATAACCCTTTAAAGACATAACACAAGATGGACCCCATACATCGGAATGTATTAAAGAAAAATGAGCTAAACTTTTATTAAGACTAGGAGCAAAAGAAGTTCGGTGTTATTTGCCAAGTTGACAAGACTCATAAAGAAACTTAGACACATTATTGTTTGTAAAAACAAACGGAAATAAATGCCTAAGTAAATGAAAAGAAGGATGTCCGAGACGTCGATGCCATAGCCATAAATCCTCCTTGGTGGTCGGCAACTGGATGGAATGATAAGGAAGCTTGTTTAGCTGATCCAAGAAATAGAGACCGTTTTCTGCACTACCACTGCCAATCGTCCTCGTGACAATGTCTTGAAAAATACAATGATCAGGAAAACATGTCACACTACAGTTCAAATCGTTAGTAATACGACTCAAGAATTGAAGATTAACAGAAAAATTGCGAACGTGAAGCACTGAAGACAGAGGTAAGGTAGGGGTGACATGAATTAAACCTTTTCCAGAGATAGAAGAAACAATACCATCTGCAATCGTAACTTTGTCTTGATCTGAAGAGCGCTTATATGCTGAGAAAAGGTAAGAAGACCCAGACATATAATCTGAAGCACCAGAATCAATAATCCATGGCAAAGACTTATGGGAATAGAAAGAACACAGAGAAGAGGCTAAGTTACCAGAGCGCGCAAACGACGAGGAAGATGCACTGGGAGCAATAAAAGATCGGCGAGTTAGCAAATGACGCAGAACATCTTCAAGCTCAGGAGAACTCATGCTAGATAAACTATCAGAAGTCATACTAACTGAAGTGGAAGTAGAATCAAGGGTGTCAACGACATCAGACCGATGGGCCCGTGGATTAGAGCCACGTCCTCTAGACTGGTCTGATCGACCGCCTCTAGTACTAGACCGATCACCCAGCCTCCCTGATGGAGCCCCATGAAGCTTCCAACACGTCTCATGAGTATGTCACGGCTTGTGGCATTAATCATAGAACACAGTATCCTTTCCTGAAGGATGGAAAAGAAGTAGTGACAAACCAGTTCCATCTTGAGAAGGAGCAGAAAGTAATGCTGAACAGTCCCATGTAGCCGGTGGTAACATAGTAGAATGACGACTCTCCTCATTTTGTACATATGCAAAGGTCTCTTGAAGTGATGGAAGAAAATCCATGCCAAGGACACGACTCCGGACCGGATCAAACTCCACATTTAGGCCTTCTAGAAACTTGAAGACCCTCTCTGAACACAGGGAGATTCACGAGGGAAATCATTTTTTTTAGTGTAGTTCTTGGAATTTCGTGTTTCTCTCTTTCTATCCTCTCTCGATGAGGATTGTTGCAGCAAATACAGTCAGTTAGAGAAGTGAAAAGAAGATCTGGACTTATGGAAATTCTGTAGGACTCAAGAATGTTTTCACGTTAAGTATGCTGAATAAATTTATTGGAGTTTAATATAGTTGTAAAACTAATACTTTTTAAAAGCTCATATTTACCTTGGTAGAAAACTGCTGTAGATGTAGTTGCTTTAGCATGTTTCGATGATTCTGCTGGAGATCTTGTGGCAGTAATGCATTTTCGATTGTTCATGGCTTTTCTTTGCCACCTATTATTTTTGTCTTGATATTCTCCTCATCTCTTTATGTTGTACATCGGCATATTTGTTTATGACTTTAATTGAAAATGATCCCCATAAGAAGTGTGTTTAGAATGTTCACATTTTTTGAGTCACATATTGGTAATTGTGAGAAACTATAGAGAGAAAATAAAGAAAAGAAATTGTTTTGCTTAATTATTGTAGCAGTTATTATGGTTATTAGTTTTTGTGTTTGTATGTTGCATGCTTTTTTTCCTTTCTGTTTCTATTGTTGACAATGTGCTATTTCAGATTCTAGAACAGCACATTAGAACTGTTCTCCCTGGTTTGAAGGCAGAGCTAAATTCTCATTTACTCACTGTTGTTAAGGAGCTACGTACATATGGGGAAGCTATGGAATCAAAAGTAAGGCACCATTATGTGCTATATAATTTATTAGAATATATTTGGTATTCTCTGTTACTTGTAATTTGACACAGAAAGTTTCAAGAAAAGTATTTTCGTTTATGGTTAGGGTGTGGTCCTTTGCTTCTGCCACTAATCACTGCTAAGATAAAGCTTCAGACTTGCTTGATTCATATCTTTTGCATCTACTAGCACTGTATACCCTTTTGGACACTATTTTTTACATTAGGTATATGTACTAAAACATTTTAATTTCATTACCTGATTAGATATTAAGAGACATTGATTAAACGATATTGCTGTATTTTCACTCTGCCGACAACTATTCATCTTGGCACCATTTGTGGAACAATATTATGAAATTAGGGCATGCTACAATTTTGCGGCTAAATGTCATTGTCTTGACTGTGCCATTGGCATGAATCGTGTTGTACTAGACTTGAATTAACCTTTTGCCCTCCATGTGGATGGCTGCCACTTGTTTTATACATAAAAATGTCCCCAAAAATCTTGTTAGAGTGTAATTTTTAGTTCTTTAACTTCTCTGAACATATGGTTGCTTTCCATTAACTAGGCTGAGCAAGGAGTGATTCTGTCGAAGATTCTGTCAAAATACTGTGAAGGTGAGTTTTCTTTGTTACCATAACCATTTCTGTTCTGGATATTTTACGTTGCTAATGTGAGAATATATTGCCTATATTGCATATATTGTATTTTAGGAATTTAGAATGATTGTGATTGTGTAAATATTATGTGTAATTCACATTTCTTTTTTAGTCTTTGGGGTTCGAGTTCTATATAAGTGATGTAATCTTTGTATCATTGTATCATTCGAATATATAGAAATATTCATAAACTTACATGGTGTTAGAGCTCCTCTCTGAATAATGACCTTTGTTTGTATCCCTGAAACTTGCGAACCATCTCAGAAGTCGCGAGTTTGGTTTGCAACCCATCTGGTGTCTGGTTCGAGACTTATCTTTATACTCCAGTCACTGGTCCTGTCATTCGAAGTTCAACATTAGAAGGCCATTAATTTCCGCAAATATCTCTCTCTTTGGTTCGCGAGTCTGGTTTGAAACCCTAGTCTCCTTGCTTCATCCCTCTCCTAGTTTGATTGACTCATTTTTGTTTGATCAAGGTCATGACTCATCAACTTGCATCTGCTTTGCTTCACGACTTTGACCTTGAATCAAAAAGTCGAAGTTTACTTTGATTTCTACTCGCTATTCTCTCTCTGGCTTGCCGTCACGGACTCCTACCTTTCTCATTGGTTAGTGACCCATTTGGTCCCTTCGTCTCAGTGCTTTGACTCCTCGTGGCTCATCTTCTTTCTCTGGTTCTTCTTCAGTCTCTCTTGGGTCTTATATTTTGACCTCCTCTAGTTATAATGTTTTCATTTAGGCCCCTTATAGTTTTTTATTTACATATTGGCATCATGTCGAATGATAAGATTTACTGTATCACTTGCAAACTTATTGGAGCCGATTATGCTTATTGGTCTAGTGTCATGAATTTTTTTTTTCTTAGTCGAAAAAATGGAGATATGTTTCTGGTTCTGTTTTTCATCCATCATATCCCAAACAGGGTTGATATCAGGCTGCTTGTGACACTTGGGATTGTGATAATGCCCAAGTTTTGACTTGGTTTCATAATGTTGTGGATGATCGTATTAGGATGACGTTCTCAAAATACACCACTACTAATGAGGTATGGGACTATTTACAGGGGGTTTATCAGTAGTCTAACTTTGCCAAACTATATGAGTTGGAAATAGCTATTTAGAGTGCTCGTCAGCGAGATCGGTCTATTTAGGATTTCTACATTGAGATGACGGTACTGTGGGATCAGCTTGCTCTCATGGAAAAGCTTGATCTTAAGGTACTTGATGCCTATATTCAGTTTCGGAATAAGGGTCGTTTAGTACAGTTCTTAACGGCTTTCTCCCCTTAATATGAGGCTATCCGTGGTGGTATCCTTCACTGGTTTCCTCTTCCTTCTGTGGATGCTAATTTTCGTGAACTCCTCTCCGAGGAAACCAGTCTTAAGACGGCCATCAGACCTTGTCTCCATTTGTATTCTTGGCTCTTGCCCAACCCCCACTGCTATCTGCCCCACCTCCTCAGCTTCAGGCCACTATAAAACCCAAGAAAGGGCGCTTGGCTTAAGATGAGTGTGCTTTCTGCCATCAGAGGGGCCATTGGAAGTACAACTGCCCTAAGAAGGGACGTGCGTCTTCTCAGCCGTCTCAGTCACAGTTCCGATCTCCTACTCAGAGTATCTTTTGGCTTAATGTTTTAAAAGGCACGCCAAAGCACGTGCTTAGGTGCTTTGGTGCGAGGCGCACCTAAGGCGCCTTAGACAACTTGAGGCGAGGCGTCATAGGAAAGCCGCATTTGAGGCACTTGAGGCGCGTGCCTTAGGCGCAGGCTCACGCCTTATGCGCTTCATTTAAAATTTTGCTCCATCCTTATTCTTTGTGTGTGTAACCATATAGAATTACAACCTCTTTAATATAAAATGTAAACACATGCTTTGAGCACCAATTTTTATATATAAAAAAAAAAACTCCAAGCATTAAACAAAAGTTGTGGGATGGCAAGATGGATATATGGCTTTAGGATTCCTTTCAATGTAGTAAATTACAACAGTTTCGGATGATTGAAGCTATCAAGCAATTTGGTTCCAATTTAAAATTAAAACCACTAAGGTATTATATAGTGTGAGTTCATTATCAAAAAAGAAATGAATCACGTTAATAAATTGATAAAGAAAGATAAATAGTATAGAGCAAAGTAAGATTGAATGTTATTGTAGAGAAATTTTTGAAACATTGAATGTTATTTTTCATGATTTTTGGAATATTGAATGTCATTCTATTTATTTTATTTTTTATTTTTTGAAATTCTAAGAATATTTATTTTATGTTACAAAACTTCGCCTATATTAATATTTTGGTTATCTTCAACAACTTGCGCTTCTCTTCGGTGAGGCGCGCGCCTCACACTTAAGCTCCAGGAGACCTTAGTACCTCAATGCGCCTAGAGCTTTTTGAAACACTGGTTCGGCCTCCAGCCACTTATACTGCATTTGCTCCGGCTCCAGATCCGGACTTGGCTTCTTTGAGTACTCAAATTGCTCAGCTTGCTGAGCTTCAGCATATCTTATCTACCTCCCAACCAGCCTCTTCTAGTTCCGCTTTCACCTCTCTTCATTCAGGTTTGCTTGGCTCTTCGTTACGTATTTCCCCTTCAGTTTGGATCTCTTCGACTCTGGTGCGTCTCATCATATGACTCCCCATCTCTCCTTACTTCATAACTATTATTCTCCTTCCTTTCCTATTACTGTTACTACTGCCAGTGGTTCTGGTATGCTTGTCTTATCTGTTGGGTATGTTCTAGCCTTTGGTATGTCTACTGTCACTATACCGTCTGCCCTTTATGTTCCTCAGTTATCTGTTAGTTTACTCTCTATTTGTCAGCTTGATATTTCCGGTTGTGATGTTATCTTTTCTTCTTCTGTCTGGTGTGTGCAGGATTGGCAGTTCAAGGAGTAGATTGGCACCGGTCGTAGAGTTGCGGACCTTTATGTGGTGGGAAGTTTGCATCTCGCTTTGTCCACCTCTTCAGCTGTTTTTTCATCTTTTTCTGTTAGATTCTCAGCCTGAGTCTTTTTTATTTATGGCATTCTAGATTAGGCCATTTGTCTGTTGACCGGATATGATTGTTAGCTCAGTCAAGATTGTTAGGTAAATTCTCTCCTAGCCAAATTAACGAATGTCGAAGGTGTAAACTTGCCAAAATGACATCATTACCATTGAACAAAAGTATTTCTATTTATGTTACCCCATTGTCTCTTGTGCATATACTTGGGTTTATCTTACGACTCATAAATATGATTTCTACCAGATATACCGTACTTTTCAGCCTTTGGTCACTACATAGTTTAGGTTTATTATTAAAATGTTGCGCTCTAACTTGGGTGGGGAATATTTTAAAACTGAGTTTTGTGAGTATTTGGCCACCTTAGATGCCATTCATCAAACGTCTTGTACTGATATGATGTTTTTAAAGAATACAAAGATTGGGGAATGATTGTGATATCATCCCCTTTTTATATTAATAAGGATTAATAATTACAAAGGAGCCCTAAGGCATAGAATAATTACATCTGAATAAAAACATAATTAATAATATATTATTCTAACACTCCCCTTCAAGTTGGTGCAAAAATATCTCTTATGCCCAGCTTGCCTAGGATGTCATGCAATGGCTTAATCCCAACTCCCTTGGTGAGGATGTTAGCGAGTTGTTCACCAAACTGCGCAAATTTAGTACATATTGTGCCCATTAGTGAGTTTCTCCTTAATGAAGTGACGATCAATCTCAACATGCTTTGTCCTGTCATGTTGAACCGGATTGTGAGCGATGTTGATAGTGGCTTTATTATCACAGTATAACCGTATGGAGTCCGTCTGATCAATACTTAGATCACCCAACAATAACTTGATCGATAAGAGCTCATACACCCTTGTGCCATAGCTCTGAACTCAACTTCTGCAGTTGACCTGGTAACCACATTCTGTTTCTTACTCTTCCAAGTAACTAGGTTGCCTCCAACAAAGGTGCAATACTCTGAAGTTGATCTCCTATCAGTTAGTGATCCAGCCTAGTCAGCATCTGTATAGGCTTCCACACGAAGATGATCATGTTTTGAATAATAAAGACCCTTACTAGGAGCAGACTTCAAGTACCACAAAATTCTTATGACAGCCTCGAAGTAAATCTGATGAGGAGCATGCATAAACTAGCTAACCACACTGGCAGCAACATTAATATCAGAATGGGAGTGAGATAGATAGATGAGCTTACCCACTAAACGTTGATAGCTTCCTCTATCAACAACTGCTCCTCCTTCATCATCCCCCAGTTTCTGATTGGGTTCCAATGGAGTGTCACAGGCCTTGCAACCAAGCACCCCAGTTTCCTTCATTTGATCAAGCACATACTTATGCTGTGAGATAAATATCCCATCCTTAGAGCGATCAACCTCAATTCTCAAAAAATACTTCAAGCTCCCCAAGTCTTTGATTTCAAACTCACTTGCTAAATATTTCATCAACAGAGGTATTTCCTCACTATCATCGCCCGTAAGAACTATGTCATCCACATAAACAATGAGCGCTGTAGTCTTACCACGTGAGGAATGTTTCACAAACAATGTGTGATCTGCCTGATTCTGTTTGAAGCCATATTTAAGCATAGCCTAAGCGAATCTCTCAAACCAAGCCTTTGGAGACTGTTTGAGACCATATAATGACTTCCTAAGCCGACATACATTACCCTCTGTCTGATGATCCTCAAAACCAGGAGGAATGCCCATATATACCTCTTCTTCGAGGTCACCATGGAGAAAGGCATTCTTTACATCAAACTAATAAAGCGGCCAACCTAGAGTAGCTGCTAGAGAGAGAAGTATTCTGACTGAATTCATCTTTGCCACAGGTGCAAAGGTCTCCTGGTAGTCAACGCCATATGTCTGGGTGAACCCTTTTGCCACAAGTCTAGCCTTGTAACGCTCAATAGAACCATCCGCTTTGTGTTTCACAGTATACACCCATTTG